CCCCCCCCCCTTTTGTATATTTTGTACATTATTAATAAAGTTTGGGGAGAAACCCCGGAAACGAGAGAGAGCGCTCTGTGGGGGAGGGGCGGGGTCACCGGGGTCATTGGGGTCACCCTGGGGTCATTGGGGTCACCCTGGGGTCATTGGGGTCATCCTGGGGTCACCTGGTCACTTTGGGAACTCCTGGAGAGGGGGCGGGGATGTCACCGGACTGACCACGCCCAATGGCCACACCCCCTGACCACGCCCAATGGCCACACCCACACTGACCACACCCACACTGACCACGCCCAATGGCCACACCCCCTGACCACGCCCCAATGGCCACGCCCACACTGACCACGCCCACACTGACCACACCCACAATGGCCACACCCCCTGACCACGCCCACACTGACCATGCCCACACTGGCCACACCCCAATGGTCACACCCACACTGACCACACCCCCTGACCACGCCCCAATGGCCACGCCCACACTGACCACGCCCACACTGACCACACCCACAATGGCCACACCCACAATGACCACGCCCACGCCGCCATTGCTCCACCACCATTTATTCCTTCCCTTGTCCCGTGGTCACCAGAGTGACCGCAGCCACTCCAATGGTCACTGCCATGGTCACTCTGGTCACTGTGGTGACCACAACCACTGCAATGGTCACTGCGATGGTCACTGCGACGGTCACTGCAATGGTCACTGCGGTGACCACAACCACTGCGATGGTCACTCCAATGGTCACTGCGACGGTCACTGCAATGGTCACTGCGGTGACCACAACCACTGCGATGGTCACTGCGATGGTCACTCTGATGGTCACTCTGGTCACTGTGGTGACCACAACCACTGCGATGGTCACTCTGGTCACTGTGGTGACCACAACCACTGCGATGGTCACTGCGATGGTCACTCTGGTCACTCAGGTCACCGCGGTCACTCTGGCAATGACCACAATGACCGCGACCACTTTGGTGGTCACTGTGGTCAGTGCAGCCACTGCGATGGTCACTGCGGTCACTCTGATGGTCGCTGTGGTCACTGCCGTGGTCACTGCAGCCAGTGCAATGGCCAATGTGGTCAGTGCAATGGTCACTGCAGCCAGTGTGGCCACCGCAGTGGTCACTGGGGTCACTCTGGTGGTCGCTGTGGCCACCGTGGTCACCGCAGTGACCGCAGCCACTCTGATGATCACTGTGGTCACTGATGGTCACCGTGGTCACTCCGTGGGTCTCTGTGGTCACTCTGGTCACTCCGGCGGTCACTGTGGTCACTCGGGTCCCTGGGCGGGTCAGTCGCGCGGCCGCGCCGCCACCACCTCGCCCAGGGCCTCCAGCACCTCGCGTTTGTAGTCGTGGAAGTCGCCGTCGATCTGGCTCAGGCCCTGCTCCTCCACCACCCACAGCTGGCAGCCGGTCTCGGTGATCAGCCGCGCGTCGTGGCTCACCACGATCACCGCTGTGATGTCACCGTGACGTCACCGTGATGTCACCGCGACGTCACCGCGCCGTCACCGCGGCCGCCCCGCCCCGGCCCCCCGGCCCCACCTCCTTTGTAGTCGTTGATGGCGTCGGCCAAGGCGTCGATGGACTCGATGTCCAGGTTGTTGGTGGGCTCGTCCTGCGGCCGCGACAGCGTGAGGCCACGCCCCTCGCGGGGAGGCCACGCCCCCTCCCAGGGAAACCACGCCCCTCGCGGGGAGGCCACGCCCCTCGCGGGGAGGCCACGCCCCTCGCGGGAGGTCACGCCCCCTCCCAGGGAAACCACGCCCTTCAGGAGAGGCCACACCCCCTCCAGAGAAGCCACGCCCCCAACCAGGGAAACCACGCCCATCCCAGAGCGGCTCCACCCCTTCCAGAAAGGCCACGCCCATCCCAGAGTGGCCACGCCCATCCCAGAGTGGCCACACCCACCCCAAAGCAGCCACGCCCCTCCCAGGGAAACCACGCCCCTCCCAGAGAGACCACGCCCCTCCCGGCGTGGCCACGCCCCCTCGCCACACCCAACCCACACCCAGGCCCCTCCCAGGGCTGGGGGCCAAAGGTCAGGAGGGGTCAGGGGTCACTCGGGCGAGGTCACGGCCGGCCCCGCCCCCTTTGGCCCCGCCCTCACCAGGATGAGCACGTCGGGCTGGCGGCACGCCAGCTCGGCAAACACCACGCGCGCCTTCTGGCCGCCTGCGGGGAGGGGCGGGGTCAGCGCCGCCGGGACACGCCCACCTGGGGCCTGGCCACGCCCCCACGGCAGCTGGCCACGCCCCCACGGCTGCTGGCCACGCCCCACTGCTGCTGGCCACGCCCCCACGGCGGCTGGCCACGCCCTTCCCGATGATAGCCACGCCCTCCCAGGTGATAGCCACGCCCTCATGGATGATAGCCACGCCCACACGGCTGCTGGCCACACCCTCATGGATGATAGCCACGCCCTCCCAGACGGTGGCCACGCCCCCAGGTGATAGCCACGCCCTCCCAGGTGATAGCCACGCCCTCCATGTGCTAGCCACACCCTCCCAGGTTCTAGCCACACCTCCCAGGCACTAGCCACAACCTCCCAGATGCTAGCCACACCCTTCCAGGTGATAGCCACGCCCTCCCAGGCACTAGCCACGCCCCCCAGGCACTAGCCACACTCTCCCACATGCTAGCCACGCCCCCCAGGCACTAGCCACGTCCTCCAGGCGCTATCCACACCCTCCCTGGCACTAGCCACACTCTCCCACATGCTAGCCACGCCCCCGGTCGCTAGCCCCGCCCCCGGGCCCCGCCCACCCGAGAGCTTGGCCATCTGCAGCGTGTGGGCGTGGCCCTCGAGGCCGAAGCGGCCGAGGCAGCGCCGCGCCTCCTGGTGCGCCAGGTTGAAGCTGCGCTGCAGGAACTCGGCCGCCGTCTCCTCCAGGCGCAGCTGCTCGGCCGCCTGCTGGTTAAAGAACCCCACCTTCTGCGGGGGGGTGGGGAGGGGTCAGGGGCACGCCCACCCACCCAAAAACCT